CTGGGGTGGGGCGGGGTATGGGAGGAATGATGAGTGCTGTGGGGGTCCCTGGGGGCAGATGAACCGGGGGTGACTGGGTGGAGAAGGGGACTGGAGGGAAGGGGAGCTGGAGTGAGGAGATACTGGCGGGGGGCGGGGAGATCGTTAGAGGACGTCGGGCCAGTAGTATGGGCTGAAAGGGTGGAGGGGAACTAGGGTGGGGAGTTATCCTGAGTGAGTTGAGCGGAGCTTCCTGGGGCCCGGGTGGGGATAAAGGTGCAGCGAGGGGAGCAAGGGGCAGGCTGGAGGCAGACGGAGACTAAAGAGGAGGGGAACGAGAACCGCAGAGCCCAGGGCTCGAGATGGGGAACCTCAGGGAGTGGGAGGACTGCTGGGGTCCTAGTGTGGAGGTCTGGGAAACCAGGAACAGAGGGAGGAAATGTCATGGGGAAGGGAGATTTCCAGAGCTGCTGTGTGAAGCCGGGAGTAGGGAGCAGGGCGGGGCACAGACTGGACGGGAGCCTCGACTCTGGGGTGGGCTGTGAACACGCAAGGAAAGGGACCCCGGGCAGGGACCCGGGGGCGGTCAGCGTCAGTTCAGGAAAACCCTAGGGTGGGACCAGGTGGGTGTTAGGATGGGGGTACGGCAGCCGTTCATCTCCCTGATCTTCTCCCGTCCGGGCCTTTCTAACTGGTTCACCAAAGGCTCTGGTTCCCCCACACTCCCCTTGGGAGTGCGGTTGCTAGAAGAACTGAAGATATTTGAAGCCCAACAGGTCTAGGGCGACCCAGACTGGCCCGCTAGGTTTGTGCATTTATGGGAACACTCATGGACAGGTGTTCTGTTCGAGGTGGTGGAGCAAGCATGCAAGTGACAGCACGCTCCTGTGGAGCTTAGAGGAAGGGGCGGGTTACTTCACCCCTCGATCGTTAAGTTGGGAAGCAAGGCGGTAGAGAATTGGCAAGGCCTCTCATTTAGTGGTCCCCTCATCTTTAAAATGCTCCACAATGCCTTAGACAGACCTCACCTAGAACAGAAAGGAATGGGTGCGATCCTACCTACAGGGATCAAGGTGCCCCGCCCCCAGCCTTCCCTCTCCATGGGAGGCGATGTGTGAATCCAGAGCCTCTCAAAAACCCCAAAATAGTAATTGCTTTTGGGAAACCAAAACTATTTAAACGAATAAGAAAAGGAGACCAATAATTCCGGAGGGGGGTGGGGATAGCAGTAGCTACTGATCATAATTCTAGCCTTTGGTCACTGGTTATTTAAAATAAACAGTTTTTATTTTTAAGTAAACTAATGTCATCTAACAGTAGGCCTCTCCAGTCCAGAGGGCTTTACCATCCGTTGGTCCTGCATTTTTCTTAGGCAGGATCACCTTCTCTTTGCATCCCTTCCAGCCCTTTCCAAGGTAGGGCAATTCAAATATCTTGAATTTAGCTCTCCTGTATTGACAAAAATCCCTGATCCAGACTAGATATCAGAATCATTGTGAAAGTGGAATTTTTGGCTAAACTTGCCCAACTGTGAAATGAAATTTTTTTTTTATTTTTATCACTTTAGGAGTAAATGTTAAAAACTTGTCGGGTGTGGTGGTGTTTGTCTTTAATCCCAGCACTTGGGAAGGAGAAACAGGTGGATCTCTGTGAGTTTGAGGCCTGCCTGGTCTACATATGGAGTTCCAGACTAGCTGGGGCTACAGGGAGACCCTGTCTAAAAAAAAATTTTAAAAACTTTATGCCCAAAGAAATGGAATAAAGATGGGACTCATATCTGTGTCCATTTTTTTTTTTTTTTTTTTTTTTGAGACAGGGTCTCCCTATAGCCCCAGCTGGCCTGGAACTCCATATGTAGACCAGGCTGGTCTTGAACTCACAAAGATCTGCCTGCCTCTGCCTCCCAAGTGCTGGGATTAAAGTATGACCAGGAGAGCTGAGAGAGAAGAAAATGTTTATAAGTCCCCTTCCTTTCCTTCTTTTTAATGTGATTTCTTGATCATCCAGATGTAGGGGATGAGGCCAAATACATGACTTGATGTCATTTGGGTGTTCCAAGTCTGCAGATGTGTCTAATTTGGAAGTTACTGATACAAGTTTTCTCTTTATGAAAACAAATCTCAGCTTGGAACTCTTGAAGCCTGGGGAAAAAAATTCAGAAAGACATTTTTCTTGAACTAAGTTCAACTAAGTTTAATCATTTAAAGGAAAGCATGCTTTACTCCTGCCCAAGTAGAGTCTGGTCACATGATTCATAGTTTAAATATATCCCTGGCTCCCGTGTTCACCTCCCAAAGCAGTGGATTTTTTCTGGCCACTCTTAACTTCAGGAAGCCCTGTTTCCCCAGATTTGTCTCATTCGCTCTGCTTCTGACAGAGTCCTGCCAAAGCCTGTGTTCTTTCCACTCTTGAGAGCACATTTAATGTCAGTCACACTTGTAGACCCCACTGCTGTTGTATAGGTTAAATGACCCAGACTGAGCAGGGCACAGTGGTGTAGACCTGTAATCCCAGCACTCAAGAGGTGGAGGGAGGAAGATCAGGAGTTCAAGGTCATCCTCCCCTACACAGTAAGTTTGAAAGACCAGTCTCAGTTACATGATATCCTGTATCAAAACAAAACAAAACCCAGACTGAGTTTTATTAAAAGCATCCCTTACTAAGCAATCTCTGTGGTGCTGGAGATCAAAACCAGCACTTGCATGCTAGGCAAGCACTCTACCAACTAAATTACTTCCCTAGTCCCCATGTTTCTACTTTTCTTGCCCACTTAGTCACTTGAGAGGCCACCAATGTCGTTAATTAGTGCTGATATGTTTGAACAGCAGTAGCCTATGCAATTGCTATTGTCCCTTTCATAGTGTCCAAACTTTCCCACATGGTTTCATGGTTTGATCACTGAGAAGGGGAAAAGAAATGGAAAGGAAAGGCAACATTATTCATTAAGAACAATCAACAACTACAGAGATCCTTTTCAATATTTACTTAGCAATAAGATCACATAAGTCCTCAGAGTTGGCAGGTCTAGATCATGGTTGGTTAGGCTCATTATATAACATTAAAAAAAAAATTCTGACCAAGCTGGCTGTGGTGGTGCACACCTTTAATCTTAGCACTTGGGATGCAGAGACAGGAGGATCTCTGTGAGTTTGAGGCCAGCCTGGTCTACATAGTGAGTTCCAGGCCAGCTGGGGATATGGGGAGACCCTGTCTCAAAAAAGACACACACAAAAAATTCTGATCATATACAGTCACACAAGAATATCTCATATCACTGCTTAAACCAAAAGGGGAGACTGCACTGATGCTTGCTCCCTTTGCACAGCCAGGTCTCATTGCTTAGATATCTCATGGCTTCTGGTTCCAATGAAGTGTCTGCTTGTCGTGATACTTGAGACCCCATTGAAATGAAGACAAAAGGGGTAAAGGAGGAGTTGTGACAGGGATAGTCTCAAATGAGCCCTCTCACCACATTCCTGCACGTAGAAAACTGATAGCTGAAGGTGCCTGATGACAGGAGCAGAAGAATTGAAACCTGCCATATATGCAGAAGGGGGAGAGATGGGGTCAGAGGACTAGGGAATCTCCTTCTCCTTCTCCTTCTTCTCCTTCTCCTTCTCCTTCTCATTCTTCTTCCTCCTCTTCCTCCCCTTCCTCCTCCTCCTCTTCCTCTTCTTCCTCTTCTTTTTATTTATTTTTATGGGGCTTCTGGCTACTCTAACGTTTCCCCCTCTGAAGAGGTAACCCTAAAATCTTTTAAGGATTAGATAAAAACTCCCCAATACTTTTGATAGTTTTGGCCTTTGGAACAGAGTATGTTGCTAAGAGGCCAAGGACATTGTGAGTTTTAGCCAAGAAACTGACTACTTTTCTTTGGGGTCTTTTTACACTAACTGCCTAGCCAATTCCTACCTCCTGTTCTTATCACACCATCCTCTGAAGAGTTACCCAAATTGCCAATAGAGAATCAGAACACAGGGGTACCCCTTCAGTAGGTCTATCTAAAATATCCCCAAATAGCATAACTCTTATCTGTAGGGGAAAAGAAAGTCTTTGGTGAATAGGAGATGTGAAAGAGAAGTAAAGGCAAGAGTAGTTAGCATTACAAGTTCTAGACAGGGAACTAGAAAAAAGTCAGGACAGGGCACTTTTCAAATGTTCATATGAGAGTCCATTGTAGTTTCTTGACAAGGGCTTCCAAAAGCATCCCTCTATTGGGCTCCTCCTCATTTTTCTTTTGTCTTCCAAGGCTGGACTAGTTGGCTGGGAAGAGTGGTTGGATACTCGTGGTTAGAATCAGTGTCAGTTCCCTCTCAAAGGCTTCTAGATGGGGAAGAAAACAAATTTATCCATCATTTTAGAGCAATAGCAGGTTGTCTCCCTTAGCTACAGGTGGGCACTACAGTACTGGAGACCAAGATTTGCAGTCTTACATCTGAGCAGCACTTTCTGGTTAGGAACAAAATCATCAATGAGAAATAATTGTCTAAATAACTTTTTATATGGATTTTAAGCCTAATGTCTGGGAAGTGTAAACCCTTGAACTCAAAGAAATATACTGATCACTTTACTCATTGGTTACATATTCCTTTTGGGTATTTAAGACCATACAGTTGGCTCAATAAATCAATTGATTTTTACACTTCAGGTCGATTGAGTATCTGTTCCTCAGGGGTCACATGGGCTTGGGAGGAGCCCTTGGCTCATTTCTTTGACCAGTTCTTCATCTGTGTGAAGAT